ATCACAAGATCAGGAATTCAAGACCAGCCTGACCAACACAGCGAAACCCCATCTCCACTAAAAATACAAAATTTAGCTGGGCATGATGGTACACACCTGTAATCCCAGCTATTCAGGAGGCTGTGAGGCAGGAGAATCGCTTAAACCCAGGAGGTGGAGGTTACAGTGAGCTGAGATGGCGCCACTGCACTCCAACCTGGGTAACAGAGTGAGACTCTGTCTCAAAAAAAAAAAAAAAAAAAAAAAAAAAAACTTTCTTTACCTTGTGAAAATACACTGTAGCATAATAGTCTACTGTTATAACATCAGCCCTCTTGCATGGAAAAGCTTTTATACAACCAGAAAACATGCACTGAAAATGACAACTGAATGACACCCCTTTATGAATGTTTAAATGGCCCATTAGGTAGCCAAATATACCTGAAGCTTTGCTTGTTTTCCCAGGAATATAGAACTAAACACTGGTTTTAAACCATTTCCACAATTTATAAGTCACCACATCAACATATTCAGTTTGGATTATTTTATCTGTTCCACGATGAGTCATGGAATGCAGAACCTTTAATAACAAAAGCTTAAGGACTCAGGAAGGACAAGGCAGCCGTCCTGGTTCTTCATGAGTCCATGCTTCACATTGGACTTACGTTTTCTTCAACACCAGTTGTTTCTCCAGTTTAGGTACACAGCACTGATAAGTAATAGGTTATCATAGGCAACGTGACTTAGACCATAGAATTCATTCAAATTGTGTATTTAAACAATTTTAGTATTGGCTGATTTAGCATGGTAATCCAGAGCTTGATTCTGAAAGATTTGTTAAATGCCAAACGTTTAAAACACTGGATATTATAAAATAGAATCTTAGGTTACCATAAGTCATTCATTTAGCCAAAATAACTCAAAAATTTTAAAAAGGAAAACACATTAGTCTGATAGGAGACTCAGTTTTCCAAACAAGACCCAATGAAGGTAGCATGAGGCCAACTGACTCTGTCTCCTTTACTTCCGTTCCACCTACATTTTCTTTCATAGTTTACTTAACAAAAACCTTTCATTATCTTTTAACATTACATAAAAATCTTTTTAAAAGAGAAAACCAAATTTTGTTTCTATCAGTGTATTTTTAATGTTAAAGCTGGTTTTTAAAATAACACTTTATACACCTATTCAGTTTTAATTAGTTGGACCATAAGATTCTTATAAACCTTTCGTAACCCTTTACATTTTCTCAGAGCAGAACAATATTCTAAGAAAACTCTGTAGTGCTTCTATTCCAATATCCAATTTATGGAGAAAAATAACTGAATAATGCCATTTTAACTTTAGCCAATATGTTCACACATAGAATCTCTAATAGTTAATCTTTATAAACCTTCTACAAACCGTTCAAACTTTATTTAAAACAATCCTTTAACACTCTAACCTAGGCAAAAATTTACATTCCCATACTTTCTTACAATCTCTTAGAAAAAACACATTTCATTCTCCTTACACACCTTGCATGTAAACCTATTTTTTCCAGTACTCTCAATTACATCTTACAATGTTAACTCTTAGTGACTTTTATTTTTCGTGAAACCTTGGGAAGTAAGGGATTTTAATTATGTACTAGGTGTGGAGCCTAAGACCTAGACAGAAAAGCAGATAAGGTCTCTTTCCAGTGTCTAATTCCACATGTCCCAGGCCTTATCTAGCTGTAAAACAGGCAAGCTGTACAGTTAAAAGTCATAGTGGCATTTTATGAAGCATTTAGGAAACCTAATCACCTTTAAATCATACAACATTTCTGGCATAAATTTCTTTTCATAAATTCTTTCACAACTTACACAAACATGTATGACATGTTTAGACTTTCTGACTTGCCCTAAACATCCCTCTTTTTCTTTCTTATTTTTATTTTTTTGAGACAGAGTCTTGCTCTGTCACCCAGGCTGGAGTGCAGTGGCACGATCTCAGCTCACTGTAACCTCCGCCTCCCGAGTTCAAGTGATTCTCCTGCCTCAGCCTCCCAAGTAACTGGGATTAAAGGCATGTGCCACCACACCCAGCTAATTTTTTGTAAACATCCCTCTTTTAAAACAACCAGTCATTTTACTTTAGAACAAGAATTTACCATACAGTGTCCTTTTTTGTGTAAAATACTTTCTCTTTATAACCTTCTTTGCATAGCTAGGCGGCATGGCTAACTCCATACATTCCCAGGCCTTATTTAGAATTCAATTTCTCCAAAATAAATTGAGTAATTTTCAAGTCAAAGCAGTATATGACCTTAAAGCATTCAGCAAACCTAATATCTGACCTGCATAATTTAGACAAAATGTCTTTATTTTATCAATAATCTTTTTGTTTTTTGTTTTTTGTTTTTTTTTGGGATGGAGTCTCACTCTGTTGCCCAGGCTGGAGTGCAGTGGCATGATCTCGGCTCACTGCAAGCTCTGTCTCCTGGTTTCATGTCATTTTCCTGCCTCAGCCTCCCAAGTAGCTGGGACTATAGGCATCTGCCACCACGCCCGGCTAATTTTTTTGTATTTTTAGTAAAGACAGGGTTTCACCATGTTGGCCGGGATGGTCTCAACCTCCTGATGTCATGATCCCCCCATCTTAGCCTCCCAAAGTGCTGGGATTAGAGGCGTGAGCCACCACGCCCAATCTATCAATAATCTTTAAAGCTGTTTTTATTTCCCAAAGATTACTAAAGTCACATGAACTAAAAGGCATTACAGTTTTTATTTTGCTTTCAAAATATTTAAGTGCTTATTTTTGTTTAAGCCAATTAGTTAGAGCTCTTTTATATAAACATTACACACAACGCATATATAATTACACAGGCAGACACACAGAAGAGTACTACAGTAGTCATTGCATTTTTCATTTGCCAGTTTTTAAGTTACTTAATTGGTTATTGGTTTTAAGGTGGAGACCTTGGAAGAACAGAGCCAGAAAAGGGGTTTCTGGTGCCTTCGTTATTCTCAAGGAGTCCAGGCTGTTAAAGCTTGAATATCCACTTTTAATTACGCTGACTTTTAACCATAGCACTCTTTAATAAAGTCCTTTTAAATTTTTCTTATTAACCTCTGATTGTGTAGCCAGGCCAACCAGTCAATATTTCTGGCTTTTTAGCTTTACCAAAGGTAACCTCCCAGGTGCTCAGAGAAAGGAAAATTTAAGACAGTCCAGGAAGAAAAGACTAGACAAGATTATACAGATATTAAACCAAAAGGACTTCCTTCCTAAGCAGGGACTCAAACCCAGACAGCCAGTGTGAAAGGCCAAAATCATAGCTACTGAGCAACAGCACAGTGCAGTCTCTACTGTCCTCCCCAGGGGTCTAGAGTAGTTAATTTTGAGCTTGCAAAAGCTTTTAACTTCTCAAGATAAATTTTAGAGCTAACTATGACAAACCCTAAAATTCCTGTTCCCTGGAAGGCGGAGACCAAGAGAACATACTGCCATGTGGTTACAAGGTCAAGTTCCCAAGGACATAAAACAAGATGTGGATGTCCCCATCCCGTTTTTTTGTTTGTTTCAGGGACCTACGGGAAAGTTTGTTATTGAACAGCTTGCTGGGTTGTCCTGAGCAGAAAGCTTATGGGGTCCAAAGCCCATGTTTTATCCTAAGGTACCCCTCGACCCAAAAGAATGAATTCATAGCACAAATACAACAGTTTGAGGCTAGCTTGAGAATTTTTTTGCATTAATCAAAACTTTACAGAAAAGATAGTGATTTTTACCATTCATTCAACCATTTGCACAAAGAGAGAGAAGTCAGAAATACAACCGGTAAGAAATTATCACCCTTTTGCCAGCATCCCAGGCTTCTGGTTTCCCTTTTCCCGAGCAGCCCTAGTGACCTAGCTTGCTGCACTATCATGCTGGGGCCAAGCCACATCATAAAGGAAAATTACCTCTTTGTTCTGGTCAGAGTAAAGTATGTGCGATAAAACAAACATTAGCCACTCTGCTTAGCAATATCAAACAGGCAGTGCTTAAATTTGCCCCTGGTTGGGCCCCGTCATCATTAATCCAACCTCCGACCAGGAGTTTCAACATGTGGTTGCCCTGAGCAACAGAAAAGATAGGAAAGGGAAAGGAGAGAGAGAAAAGCATTGTCTGTGGCAGGGTGGGGAAAACGAAGTGATCAGGGAGGCCAGAGAGAGACCCACCCATTGTAGCAACACTGAAAAGTTGAGGTGGCTACTTCTTGGCAGCAAAGGGATCTTTTCCAGCCATCCCATTAGCTCTCAAGTTTCCCCTTTTCGGGAGGAAAAAGTTCCCCAAGTCCCACAATCCTGTACATGCCTAATCATGTCACCCACAGCCATCAGCAAAGAGTGCAAGGCAAATTATTCCAAAAAGAACAACAGTTAACATCCTGTAGTGCCAAACCTGTTCTCAACCAAAAGGCACTTTACCAAGAACCCTCCTTTTTAAATGTACTTCGATGTATTGCTGTTCATTCAGAATGTGCCACCGTAAGTTATCTTTAGCAAGGTTTTGCCACTTCTGTAAGACTTCACTGCCTCCAAGGCCTAATGTATAATCCAGAAGGAACTCGGTTTTCCAGAAATTAAGGATCCCATTTTTACCTAAAATACTGGCTTTACTCTCAAGTTCTCTTAACTTAGCCAACAATTTTTTTTCTACCTAAGCACACAAGAAAAATGAAACAACGGGGTAGAACACAAAAATCCCTGTGAATTTTCAAAAGCCAAAATTATAACCCCTGCAATATTACTGCTTACTACTAGTTCCTTTCTGACCCAGTCAGATGTAAGAGGCCTCTACCTGGATCCAAACCAGTTAATTCCCAGATTGAATCTGTTTCTCGACCCAGTCCGGTTTGTGTCGTGACTCCAAACCCAGTTTGGATCAGAAATTTGCTCAAAGAAACTCAGAGAGCTCAAAACACAAATCCATGGAGCTCCAAAATCTGAAAGTGAGCTTACCCACCATCCCCAAACACTCAGAGATCCATGGACACAAGCGGGTCCTGCTGGTACCTTGCATGTTCACTCAGTGCTCCTGGAGGTCACTGGAAGCTCCGCTTTGGATCCTGCTTCTGACACCATCTGATAAAAGAAAAACTTCAGCTGAATTAAATTTAAAGGAGTTTAATTGAGCAATGAACGATTCTCCAATCAGGCAGCCCCCAGAATCACAGCAGATTCACAGAGACTGCAGGGGTGTCTCGTGGTAAGAACAAATTTATAAACAAAAAAGATAAAGTGACGTACAAGAATCAGAAATGAGGTACAGAAACAGATTAGTTACACCTCAGGGTTTCCTTATTTGAATGCAGTTTGAACATTCAACAGTCCATAAGAGGCTGAAGTATGGCCGCTGGGATTGGCCAACACTCAGCCATTGTTACAGGTGCACACTGTTAAGATAGCTTTTCAATTTTGTCTATTAAGCTAGGTTACAGTTCATCCACAAGCATTCAAATATGGAAGTACGGAGTCCTTCTGAGGCTTCAACACCTGTATCATCTTCCCTTGAATGTGGGCAGGCCTGTACTTGTTTTAATTAATGGAATAGAACAGAAGCAACATTCTGTGATTTCCAAGGCTGAGTCACAAAAACCCATGCAACTTCACCTGTCTCTCCTAGAACTCTCACTCTCCTGGTGCCCTGTCTTGGGCTTCTTCCTTTCAGAACCCAGCCATTACACTACAAGAATGAGAAGCCCAGTCCATATGGAAAAGCGATGTGTATGCATTCTTATCAACAGCTCCAGCTGAGCCTAGCCTTTGCACCATCCTGGCCAACATGCCAGACATGTGAGCAGAGGTTGCCAAATAATTCAAGCCCCCATTCATCTGAGCCACATATCAGCCATTTGAGTCTTCCCAGTTGAAGCCCCAGATTTCACGCAGTAGAGATAAACCATTTTCTATGGAATTCTGTCTGAATTACTGACCCACAGTTGTTTTACACAACTACACTTTGGAATGTTTTTAGAAATGGCAGTTTATAAACGCTATAAATGGTAACAACAAAAATATCCTACATTCAGTTAACCAAAAGGGATGAAAATATTTTTTCAGACCTCATATGAACAGACACGAAGGTTTCTAGAGATGGAAAGCTGGAATCGATAACCCAGAAGTTTTCAGTGAGAACATGTGACTGTTCTTTTTTCCCCACATTCCACAGTGTTTTAACTACATTTGCTAATTTACCAATCAAGTTAAGAAAACAAAATAGGCCGGGTGCCCTGGCTCACACCTGTAATCCCAACACTTTGGGAGGCCAAGGCGGAGGGATCACGAGGTCAGGAGATGGAGACCATCATGGCTAACACGGTGAAACCCTGTTTCCACTAAAAAAAAAAACACAAAAAATTAGCTGGGCGTGGTGGCGGGCACCTGTAGTCCTCCAGAGGCTGAGACAGGAGAATGACCTCCCTGGAGGCGGAGCTTGCAGTGAGCAGAGCTTGCACCACTGCACTGCAGTCTGGTCGACAGAGCAAGATTGTGTCTCAAAAAAAAAAAGGAAGACAAAAATAATCAACTGTTTTCAATTGTCTTGGTCACAGTCTCATTCTCTAAATATGAGATGCATTAGGAAGTGAAAAATGCAGATGAATGCCCTTTACCTCTGTTAACTATAACATCAATTCTAGTGTCTCCGGAATTGGTGGGTTCTTGGTCTTCCCAACTTCAAGAATGAAGCTGCAGACCCTCATGGTGAGTGCTACAGCTCTTAAAGGCGGCACCTCCAGAGTTGTTCATTCCTTCCGGTGGATTCGTGGTCTCACTAGCCTCAGGAGTGAAGCTGCAAACCTTCGTGGTGTTATACTTCATAAAGGCGGCACGTCCAGAGTTGTTCACTCCTCCAGTCTGCAGTTGTTCGTCTTTCCTGGTGGGTTTGTGGTCTCTGCTGCAGCCCTTCAGGATGAGCGTTAAAGCTCATAAAGGTAGTCTGGACCCAAACACTGAACAACAGCAAGAGTTATTACCACAGCTCATAAACGTGGAGTGGACCCAAACACTGAACAGCAGCAAGAATTACTGCCAAGAGCAAGAAAAAAAACAGAGCATCCCCTACAGAAAAAAAACCAAAGAGAGCTCCACTGTCGGCGGGGGGACGGCAGCCTGCTTTTATTTCCTTATCCGATCCCACCCACATCCTGCTGATTGGTCCATTTTACTGAGAACTGATTGGTCCATTTTACAGACAGCCGATTGGTCCGTTTTTACAGAGAGCCGATTGGTCCGTTTTGACAGAGTGCTGATTGGTGCGTTTACAAACCTTTAGCTAGACACAGAGTGCTGATTGGTGCGTTTACAATCCTTTAGCTAGACACAAAAGTTCTCCGAGTCCCCACCCGTCCCAGAAGCCCAGCAGGCTTCATCTCTCAGTGGCACTTGCCAGCGGGAGTGGCACTTAAGCCGGTCACTCCTGTGGCCCAGAGGGAGCTCTTCCCTGATCAAGCCCAGCAGGCGCCGAGAGGTCGCACCCAGTGCGGTGCACGCTAAGTCTGCGCCCACCCGGAAGGCTGGCGCACGGCGCTGCACCTCGGCGCGCCTCTGGCTCCACATCTGGCGGTGAGCAAAGGGAGCCGGCTCCGGCCTCCGGCAGCCCTAGAGAGGGGCCCTCATAGCGCAGCGGCGGGCTGAAGGGCTCCTGGAGTGTGGCCAGAGCAGACGCCAAGGCCTAGGAGGCAGCGAGATTGAGCAAGGGCTGCTAGCACGTTGTCGCCTCTCACTAGCTTTACAAAATTACTTGACAGCAATAAGATCATGAGATGTTCTCAGTGTTGTAGAGAAGATACAACGTGTTTTAAATTTTTTAATACTTGTTAAAAGACAAGGAACATTTAAAAATGTAAAAATAAATAATTTTCATAACTGCTGGCCGGGCACAGTGGTTCACGCATGTAATCCCAGCACTTTGGGAGGCGGAGGCGGGCTGATCACGAGATCAGGAGTTTGAGACCAGCCTGACCAATCTGGTGAAACCCCGTCTCTACTAAAAATACAAAAAAATTAGCCAGGCGTGGCGGTGGGCACCTGTAATCCCAACTGCTTGGGAGGCTGAGGCAGGAAAATCCCTTGAACCTGGGAGGCAGAGGTTGCAGTAAGCCGAGATCAGGCCATTGCACTCTAGCCTGGGTGACAGAGCGAGACTCTGTCTCAAAAAAAATAAATAAATAAAATAATAACTGCTAAAATCTTAGTCTTCTTAACATTCAGAATATCTTTTAATTGTTAAGACTTTTAAGACTTGTCTATAACCTCAGTTTAACTAAACATTTTTTTCTAAAAGATTTTTCATTACTAATTGACTTTCAAAAAAGCAGAAGATATATCCTTTTGCACTGAAGGTTGTAATTTTCCAAAGCTTTGACTTTTGTTTAATACTCCGTAAAGAACATTGTATATTTTTTGCTGAATTTTAAAATGCTGTCATTCTGTGAGGTAAAGAACTAAGTGCTAAGTGAAATGTGAAACCAAAGTCTTCCTTGGAAATGTGTTCCTCTGAGAAAAAATTAAAATGTGCTAAATATATCTCTACAAAGAAAGGAAGGGCATTTGTCCTGATGTCTACTCCAGGAATAACCTCCCTGGGGAGAATTTTGAAAGGATTTGAGCATTTTAAATGTCCTGGACTAAATTAGTTAATTAAAAATATGGGTGAGCATAGTCCACTGAGGTTAAAAGGAGAACAATAGTCAGCAATCATTTATCACTGTGCCCTGTTCAAGGATTTCAAGATACCTGATTAACAGTGGCAATTCTCATTTAGATTCGTTATCTGAGGGAGCAGAGTTGTTATTGATCCAACAGCTGACCTCACTGCAGGCTTGGAGTGTGACAATAATAATCTCTCCATATAGTAGGCCTGCAGTCATTGACAGTTTGAGTAATCATTAGATGAAACAGATGAATAAACAGCTAATTCCAAAAAACTCTCATTCCATTTCTATTGATGCTTTAGACTTTCAACATGCTTCATATCTCTCTTTTTATCTTTCCTTCCTTCTCTATTTGTTCCTTTCCTCTTTTCAAATGAGTTATTAAATTTTTTTAAAGGAAATACAAGCAGAGTTCAAACTGAAAGAAGAAAAAGTTTTCCTCTATTCTCAATTTCAATATCTGCAAATTTAACTGACAAAACACTGATTAACAGGAGAAAACTATATAGATTTATTACCATTTTACAAGCATAGGAGTTCATAGACAAGAAGTGAAATTCAAAGAAGCAGTTAGATTTGGGGACTTATATGCCATTTCGACAATGGAAAGGGGCTTGGGCTTCAAGGAACAACAAGTTGAGAGAAAGTAACCGGAAAATATATAGGAGAAACTAATGGAAGATAAGGGTTATTTTAGTAAGGTTTATTTACGCAGACTCATCTCCATGCAAACTCTGTCTCTGGTAATAAGAGTTGCTCCTTTCATTCCTGGTTTAGGAGGTGGGGAGCACCTTCACAAAGGGAAACTTGTGCCTTTTGGGTCGTAGCTAAGGAAGGGGAACAGAGACCTCTTCCTGCATTTGTTGATTCTCAGTTGACTTCATTCTAAAATAATCCTTATGCCAAAATGGCACATTTGGGGGTGGCATATTCTGAACACTTTCAAAATCCTTTTTATTTCATCACATCCTAATGACAGTGACTAAGAATGTCTTCTAAATTCACTATATAAATGGTAATTTAACTCAAGGGGGAAAAACTTGACCAAATATTAGTTTTAAACGCTATAATTTTCGTGAGGAATGGAATGTCGACATGAAATCAATGCTTTTAGAACTTTTTCTACTAAAAATTCATGAATGTCTGAGAGCAATGAGCTTGAGCTACATCAACACAATGCTAAACATCTGGAGGGGAAGTGGAAAATGCAAGCAATTGTCCAGATACTTTGTCTACACAAAATTCAGCCATCCAGATGTTTGCTTTCCCCAGACTAAACATCTAGACAATTGGCAAAATTCCTTCCATTTCTATCTGTATGTGAAACATCCCTCAACTACTCTTATTTTAACAATGAGCTACATCCTTTTTGAGTGGGATTTTAACCAGACTGTCTCTCCTACTCAACTCTTCTATTCTTTCAATGTATCTGTATATGTTTTTAAAGTACAAAGGAATGAAAAAATAGCAAATTGTCTGTGTCTTCTTATTTTAGAGTAAAGTAACTGCAGAACAATGACTGGTTGGTTTGTCTATTCCTTGCAATACCTAGCACACCAGGTGCAGTCAATAAACATTAAGCCATCAAATAAATCAGAATTCCAAATTGTGGTCTGCATTGAAGAATACATTATAGTCAGCTGCTTTTGCAGCAGGGTGAATTTCAGAAAAAGACTCAATTGATTGGCTTTTCTCAAACGTTAATGTGCATACAAATCTCCTGGGGACATTTTTTAAAATGCAGATTCTGATTCAGTAGGTCTGGGCTGGGGCCCAAGACACTACATTTCTATCAGATTCTCAGGTTACACTAATGATGGTTGGTCCATAGCTGAGTAGCAAGCAGATGACTTATTGGCAAGGGGAAAAGATTAAATCTGTCCCTTCACCAATTCTAAAGCATATCTTTTATAAACAATATTCCAAATATATTTAAGGAAAAAAGTTTAATAAAATAAAATGATTTTAATGTAAAATAATTGAATAACTTTAAATCATCAAAACATAAAAAACTGACAAAAAAAGAATGTGTAACCTGAAACTAAAAGGGCTATTTGGGAAAAAAAACAATGGTTTACTAAATGCTAATAAAATCCATGTTAATAGTAGAAAAGAGCCAAAAAGATATATTTCAAGCTAAGAGTACGAATACAAACTAATAGATACTTACTTTAGTACAGGTTATAAAAGTGCCCCCCCCCCACAACTGTCAGTCTTTCAGGTGTACTTATAGCAAGAAAAAATAAATAAATTACATCTTCTAGTGTAGAATAGTTAACATCATAAATGGATCCATGTTTTCAGTAGGTTGATACACTGGATGGTCTGTTTTAAGAAAATCTTTATGATTCGGAATATTATGTGTTTTATTAAATTATTTTCTTCACTATCCTATCTGAATTATCACAGTGTCTGAAACAGAAAAACAAAAGTTATTCATTTAATCAACATTGAACTCAATCACTGAAAAAGCAATGTGCCAGACACTCTCTAGGGTTGTAGTACTGAATAGCACGGATTCTATCATGGATCTTGTAGTCTAACAGGAAGGAAATATGCATACATAAATAACTAGAACATGAATTCAAAGTGTGATAATTGTCATGACAAATATGCAAATAATGGGTTTTGGAAATTAAGAAGTATGAGCAGAATTGTGGTTAGATAATAAACCTAGCCAAAGGTTCTTTAAAAATTGCCTGGATGAAGTACTAAATTTTCTGAAAAACTCCCAGATCCAATAATTTAATAATCATGAGAATTCTCATTTGTATCTCCTCTTCCAATTCAAGCCAAAAGGGATCCTCATCTGATAAAGACATTAATAAAACACGTAAACAGTACCAACAATTCCTCATGTGAATACCTGCAATACTCACTCAAACAGCTATCCAAATGTGTATGTAGCCAGTGGTGTGCTGGTAATTGTTTCACAATCAGCCCTGGGGGTTGGTGACAGGAGCTCTAATTTGTAGACTTTACTCATTTCCATGGTGTAAGTACCCATGACTGATTTCGGGGTATTAATGTGAGATCACTAAGCTCTGAGTGGGGAAGATATGTTCACAATCAGCCCTCCCACATGTCTGAATTTATGTTTAGTGGCAAAGAAGGATGTAGGCTGTGAAGAGAAACTGAGTTTAAAACTTGGTTCTGAGATTAATCAGCAATTGAAACTTTGATAAATTACTCAGCGTCTCTAGGTTTCAGTTTCTTCTTTTGTAAATGGGGAAATACTAATACAATCTGATTGTTACAAGAAACAAACTAATATGTAAAAAAATTATGTGTCATTA